TCATGGGGAGATTGGGAGCAAGTGCATTCCAGAAAATATGAGGCTATATCTGTAGGGCGTCAAGGGAAGGTGGCATTCATGTATGGAATTAATAGTCATCTGATCTGTTTCTCACAGCATACCTTTTTTTGTTTTGTTTTGCTTTTGTGTTTTCTTAATACATTTTTCCATTTATATAGATTCATACAATTTCTTTTTTAAATATTTTTTATTGTGAAAATACTATACAGAGGGGTTACAATTACATGGACAAGATAATGAGTACATTTCTTATCAAGCATTGTTGCCTCCTCCTTTGTTTCCCCTTCCCATCCCTTCCCATCCTCCCCCCCTGCTCCCCCACCCAATCCTCCCCACTCCCCGCTCCACCCCACCCCCTGCACCAAAGTTGTAAAGTTCATTTTTTAACATAACGACTTGTACATCTCATTGTTGCAATGGGTCCACCTATATCCCTATTTAAACGATTTGTTTTTCCCCTTCCCCTCCACAAATTATACCGACATCAAATACAGTGAAAGCAGGGGTTATACTGTGGGGGAAGGACACAAAGCAACAAAGAAATCATCTTATAAATGTGTTAGAAACAATCGCATGAAAGAAAAAAACATTTGAATACATATCTTAGGGTTCATTTCCCTAACATCACCTTATCTGATTCATACAATTTCTATAAGAGAAAGTTGGGAGGTATACAGCAAAAAACGTCACCTTCTCTTGCAATTAAACACATCACCTAACAAAAATAACTATTTTATTAAAAATTAACAGGCAAACTTTTTTATATTACCTTGTTTTGAGCTTTGATTTGCAGATAACTTGGAAAGCAGTTATTCGTCATGTTTATTTAAGTAGACAGATGCTGTCTCCTCCTGCAACATCACTGTCAGGATTGGGGTAGTTCCAAAAGAGCAGGGGCTTGAGTTAGAACACACTGAGGTCCTGCTCTATCTCATGTCCCTTAGCTGTAAGCCGGGAGGTCACCCCTCCATGCCAGCCTCTCCCTCCGTGAGGATCAGTTGAAACCATGGACTGACTTACAAACATTTGTTCTTGTCTGACATCATCAGAATAAGAGCTCAGAGATAAACAGCACTTGGGCCTCATCCTTAGGAAAACATTCTAGAAAGTGTAGTGCTCAATTGGAATGAGATTGGTTATTTTCCCCTGTGTAGATTTGTGTCTTCTTGCTGGGCACCAATTAAATGAAAACAATGAAATTACAATAACTGTTTTTAAGTGAAAAGGCTCTTGGATATCCTATGATTAGCAGACTTTTTTTCCATGCTAAGGAAACACAGCTGTTGTGTAAGTCCCAAACCCTACAAGAGAGCCTCTGCTTGTTAAGAGTGGGAAGAGATGTGTGGGGCTCAGGTGTGGCGATAGCTTGGGTCACCTGGGAATGTCTTTCTGAGGAATTGAGGTCACGGGTTTATTGGAAGATTTCAAAGTCTCCCTCAAACTCACTCTTCCTTCTTTCTACAAAACACACACACAGAAAACTTTTTAGATAGGTGGAAAAGGCAGAGGGAAGTGAAATTGGTAATTAAATCATGACAAATGCAAAGTAGAAATACATTGTTGAAAGTCAAATAATAGTTATTACTCAACTGTGAAATAATTGTCATTCATAGACTAACAAAGACACTATTCAGAACAAGAGTCTCTGACTTTAATATCCCTGAAGCTATTTTTAAATGCATATTATACAGCAGAAGAGAAGTTAAAGTTTTGTGGCTTGATCCATGTTTATAATTCTGATTATATAATGGTCTTATTTTTTTTGTTTTTGACTTCAAGTGTTTTATTTGCTCAATTTATTAATAGCTTGAAATATTTTTTGTTTTCTTGTCTTGCATCCTACAATATTTTGCCCTTCAACTAGCATGTGAAGTGTGTCTCTGTAAACTTGCTGTTTACACACACTTTGTTTTATTATGAAACTAAAGGTTTTTTTAATGATAATACAGTACTGATTATGACCATGGCATTAGGGGTCTTTTAAGTAGATGGATAGTTTAAAGCTCAGCTCTAATATAGGTAGTGATGTCTTCATGCTTGCACATGTTATCAAGGGGTGTCTTTTCATCTAGACAGTGGCGTGGGTACATGGAAGATGAATCTACAGGACAGGAATGGACAGAGCTGACATCAAAGAGTCTGCAGTGGTAGTTGAGCAATAAAGGCAGAAGCAATGCCAATACCCCTCAGGTCATGTAAAGCACCACCCAGGTGAAATCTGTGACCTGTGAAGAGGCAAGGCTGTAGTTTGAATGTCACTTTCCCCCCAGGGATCCATATGCTTAGAAGCTTGGTTTTCATTGTGACCATGATGAGCAGTGGAACCATTGAGAGAGTCTCATGAGAGGTTCTTATGTGAACTGGGGGTGTGTTCTGGAAGGGATGTGCAACTCGAGATTCTTGGACTTCCTGTGTGATGACATGATCGCTCCCACTTGTGTGCATTCCACCTTGACCCTCAATAGAGGTTTCATTATTAGGCCCTCACTAGAGGTCAAACAAATGGGGCTACCTGATCTTGGGAGAGATTCAGCCTCAAAATCTGTGACCTAAATAGAGCTCATTCTAGTAAGTAGCCTATTTCAGATATTTCATTATTATAGTAGAAAATGGAACTGACACAGGCAGGTTTTTCCAAGTCTTAGAACCTTTCACACACTGAAACTGTAGAATAAAGCTTCATTTTGAGGTCAAAGCCAAGACATACTGGAAATCAACAATATAGTCCTTCATTCTCCAGCTAGTTATTGAACTCAAACTATGAGACACAATCTCCAGACACCTCCCCCCAAGAAAAATGAACATCCAGGCTCTGCTCTCAAAGACTCCACAGCGTGATAACAGAGAGAGACTTGGGAACAGCAGAACAACATGCCAAGCCATCTGCTACATACAGGATCCAAGTATAGTATGACATGCAGGAGGGCAGCTGCAGCAGCACTGGGGCAGTTTACTGAATAAGGAAGCACTGAGCCCATATATAAAATAAAAATAGATTTCTGCTTCTCCGGGAAAACACCAAATGGCAGATGATGCAGGTGGCAGCGGAAGGGACGGAGGTCCCGGGGACCCAGGCTTGGAAGGGCATGACAGCTTCCGTGGAGGCTTCAGTAGTGGCCTCTGGGGTCGAAGTTGTGGCCGTGATAGAGGCTGAGTTCACAGCTGCAGGGGGTTGTCAAGGCAAGGCCGAAGACAAGGAATAGATCCTATCACCAAACTGGGCCGCCTGGTTAAGGACATGAAGATCAAGTCTTTGAAGGATCTATCTTTTCTCCCTGCCCATCAAGGAGTCTGAGATTGTTGACTTCCTCCAGGGGCATCACTAAAGGATGAGGTGTTGAAGATTATGCTCGGTATAGAAGCAGCCTCGAGCTGGCCAGTGCACCAGGTTCAAGGCATTTGTAGCCATTGGCAATACAATGGCCATGATGGTCTGGGGGTTAAGTGCTCCAAGGAGGTTGCCACTGCCATCCTAGGGTCCATCATCTTGGCCAAGATCTCCATTGTGCCTGTTTGGTGAGGCTACTGGGGAACAAGATGGGCAAGCCTCACACTGTTGCATGCAAGGTGATAGGCTATGCATTTCTGTGCTGCTCCACCTCATCCCCATCCCCAGAGCCACTGGAATCATGTTCACTCCTATCCCCAAGAAGCTGTTGATGATGGCTGGTATCCATGCAACACCTCAACCGAGGGTTGTACTGCTACCTTGGGGAACTTCGCCAAAGCCACCTTTGATGCCATCTCCAGGACCTACAGTTGCCTGACCCCTGACCTCTGGAAAGAGACCGTGTTCACCAAATCTCATCAGAAATTCACTGATCATCTTGTGAAAACTCACACCAGAGTCTCTGTGCAGAGGACCCAGGCTCCAGCTGTGGCTGCAACATAGAATTTTATGTAAGAATAAGAAAGTGAATCAAGCCTGTTAAAAACTTAAAAAAAGTAGATTATATGGAACCATGAGTCTTCACAAAATGTTGGTGAAAGATAGAAGTGGCCAAGATGATAGGATGGAGACTAGGGATGTAAGGAATTGATTCCATTCAGAAGAGAGAACTGGAAAGCCAACATGGGTTGGACCACATTTTCCTGATGACCTATTCTATGCTACTGAAGCATTTCAGAGTGTGCCTTTGTTCTTCTACTGTACTTTATTGCTTCTTCCTGACCTTCTCTTCTACCTTCCCAACTGGTGTAAAAAAGGTAGGATGGTAGTTGTGACAAAGACAAGGAATTGGTTTTACTAAATCTTTCTTGCTGCCATTCTTCTTCCATAACCTCCATGCAAAGGGTCATGTGCAAACTGTCATGCAGACCAAAGTAGAAATAAAACCACAGGGTTTTTTTTCACTTGTCCTTTTATAGCAAGAAGTTTCATTATAACTGAAGCAGGAAAAATATATCTAATAACATAAAGATTAAAGACCATAGGCATAATAATGCCAAATCCTTAAATAAATGGACATCTAAGCTTCATTCAAAATGAAGAGAAAACTCAGAGTAGATTACATGATTTTAGCCTTGAAGTCATGAAGTTTTAGCTTACCTACTTTCACTATTTTAGTCAAAAAAAACCTTTTCAGTTAGCAATTAGGGAGAAAAAAGATATCTTCTTATTTCTTATAAGAATATTGAAAGAGTAATATACTTAACAAATTGAGAAAAATGTTCAATTTTTTCTGTATAAAATATTCAGGTTAGGATAGGCATGAATATGGGATGGTTTTTGCTAGGTTATACAAATAAACATCCACCACTGTTTTTATCTGATATTTAACTCAAGGAAAACAAAGCTGAATGCACAACAAACGTGAATGCACCTAAAAAACAGTACAATAATCGATTATCTCTTTCCTGTGGCCATTCTTTTCTGCTTGACCATTATTCCATATTTTTAAGGGCCTCCTCCCTGGTTAAGATCTTTCTGTTCCTTGGGTCAAATTGTAATGCTTAGTGTCACTTCCTCTTCCTTCCAGAGCTTCTTTGAAGGGCAGTCTGCACCATGGGATTCTGCTAAGAAAGATGAGAACAGAATGAAGAACAGATATGGGAATATCATTGCATGTAAGTGTTAGCAGTGTAATTGTGCTGTTATATAATTTTCTTATGCGATTGACCACCAGACTTGTATGGTGAGAATTTACAGTGCAATTACTGCCTGCTGCAAGAGTGGCTGCTATGCTCGTACTAAAGGAAGGAAAAATTATCTGAATATCCCTGCTATGTCAATGCACTCTCTCTGTGGGCCCAGTTTCACCTTTAGATTTAAGGTTTGGGTAACATAGGTAATGTTAAAATGCTGAGGAGGAAAACACATTATACAAGGAGCAAACATCCTATTCCTAATGTTACCCGGCTGCTGTCTGAAAATGAACAGAAATAATGATGCACAGCACGCCATGTGCCAGGAGCTTGGAGTGTGGTGCACACATTAGCTCATTAATCCTCTGGACACTGGGTTAGGTAGGTCAGTAATAGCCCCATTTTAAGGGCAGGAAAGCGAAACTCTGAAGTTAAATGATAGTCCCCATATCACAATACTCATTAGCAAAAGAGCAAGGATTATATCTCAGAAATTCCCAGTGCCAGTGAAGCTGAATGTTACCAATCCATATTGCCTTGGACGGGTTTTAAATCAAGCCCAGCCTCATTAATGTTCCGTAACGATGTGGAGACTTGTGGTAGATTGATGGGCCTCCTTCTCCCAGGGCTCGAGCCATCCATCCCATGTATTAAACTGCTCCAAATCATCCCTCACTGCATCAAGGTGGTGCAGAGCCCACTGTGGGGGCCTAACAGAATTAAGACTATTGACAAAGGAACGTAAACTGAACAACAGTGTGCAGCGAGGCCCAGAGAATATCGCACTCATCACGTCTTATTACTTATAAAGAGAACAAACTTAGAAGGTTAAGATATTCCAGGGGAGCAATATATTAGCTTTATTGATTGTGAAGGCACAGTTAAATTCAGTTTGGCTGAGTTAACATTTCTTGGTTTGACAGTTCTATTTCTCTCACAGTGATTGTACCCCCAAAACATGTTCTGATTTTCAAAATGTTTCTGTCTGGTCAAGCCCCAGGAATTCAGCTCTTACAAGTGAAGAGCTGATTTTAACTTTGTGTCTGTACTGGGCCTTGAACTCAGAGTCTGGGTGTTGTCCCTGAGATGTTTTTTTGCTCAAAGCTAGCACTCTGCCAATAGAGTCACTGATGTACTTCTGGCTTTTTGCTGGTTAATTAGAGATAAGAGTCTCATGGACTTTCTTGCCTGGTCTGACTTCAAACTGTAATTCTCAGATCTTAACCTCCTGAGTAGCTAGAATTACAGGCATGAGCCACCAGAGCCTGGCTGATTTTAATTTTATACTTGTGATTTTGAATTTGAATGGTATGAGATGAACACCTATCATATAGGTCATTACAAATCTTGATTCTGTTGCAAAGCAAACAGGGTGGACCTACATAGAATATGAAATAACTGGACAGTCTTGTTTTCTTTCCCTTAGGCCACCAGTAAAGCCAAGTACAGGCTTTGCAGGGTATTAGTAATGCTGGATTTGTGTATGTGGTAATGGTTTGTTTTAAAGCATGCCATACTTAAGGCACTGAGGCTGTCCCAGTCCCGGTCTTTTATATACTGTCCCAGTCCCAGTCCTTTGTAACCCTCCTTGAGGGTTAGAGTTTGATTATCCCATGACGAATTAAGTTGGTACTTAAACTTCAACCATCTCTCTCATCTCCTTCATCTCCCAGACCCCTGAAATAAAGACACAGATTAAGTAAAAGCCACACACAAATGTGCACTTAAAGCAGGTGCTTTGGTCCCTAGGTTGACTCCAACGCCTGCAATCCATTCAGAGATTCTGGAACTGCCTCTGTTAGGCTCCTGCAGCGTCTCTGTTCTGATGGTTCTGTGCCTGGTGTCTAAGAAGGGCAGCAGGGACACTACCTAATTAATTATTTGTTCATTGGTTGTTTATTACTTATTGTCACCTAGCTCAGGATGGACATAGAACAGGTTAATAGAGGACTTTTTTAAAATAATAGGACAGGTGTGAGAAAGGGCACGGATGCCCACATATCACCTGGTCCAGTAGAGAAGCTGGGTAGAAGGTCTCACCCCTTGAAGAAAGCAGAACAAGAGGTATAAGTGGCTAATATAACTCCCAACACTGAACAACAAAACATATATTGTCTATTTTGTGTAGAACCATAAAAACCACAAATGCCACTTGATTATATTTTCATAGGGATAACTTAAACTTCATTTTCAAGTTGAGATGTGACTTGTCTATAATCTCTGAAGTACATAATTGTCCTTTTGCAATTGAAACAAAAGGGATTTTTCTAGGTAAATTATTGAGAAAAATGTGTTTTTGTAGACTTGGGGAGAGGAATAGTCCTGCAGGATGGCATGGTCTGATATTGACTGTTTCCTTGCTATGAAAAGTTTGCAGGCTCTCACCGTGTTCTGAGTGGCTCCTCTCCTTTAAAATTCTAGTTGCCTCCTGAGTCCTGCCCACCTTGCCACAACTTAACCCTCTGTATGTGTGGTATGCAGCTGTGTCACAGGAACATTGAACATGGTCTCCTGCTTATTTCATCTCATGGCTAGACAGATTATGTTCTTAAACAGACCCTTCATTCAATAAGTATATTATTGATCACTTGCTGTGTGCCAAACGCTATGTTAGGCACTACTATAAATAGACGATTCAATGTAACAGAGTACTTACCCTTAGCAATTACAGTCTAGGTCCACTTCTAGTTTTTGAGTGGTGAATTGGAGATAAGAGTCTCATGGAGACTTCTCTGCTCAGACTGGCTTCAAACCACAATCCTTAATTTCAGCCTCCTGAGTAGCTAGGATTGCAGGCATGAGCCACCAGCACCTGGCATATCTTATGGTTTTAGAGGCTGGGAAACCCAAGATCAATATGGGCAGACTAGGTGATGGATGAGAGCCTCTGACATCTGCCTTGGATGGCACCTTGTAGCTGTGTCCTCCAACAGAAGATACCACATAGAGAGAGTGGAAGTGTGAAAGGGCCTCACTAATTCCCTCTAGCCCTTCAATAAGGGACCTCTGACCTACCTAAAAAGTAGACTACATGGCCTAATTAACTTCTGTAGACCCTACCTCTCACAACTATTGCATTGGGGATTAAGTTTCAAGATGAATTTTGAAGGGAAACAACCTTCACACACTGTCACCAGGCCAGCCAGTCTCGGTTCAGCTGCTTCACTTACCACGTTAGTACAAAATCAGACAGAGAGCACAGGAACAAATGGGCACATGTTCCAATAAAACATTATTGCAAATCCTGGCAGGTCACTAGAATTGACCTAGAGGCTATAGGACACTGATTCCTGGTTCAGTGGATAGGTGCCATAAGGAAAATCTGTCATTTCATACCCAGATCCTATTTCTATCACCACCGAGATCATCTTCAGCTCTCAGAACTCAACCAATTATTTCAGCACCCCACATGTAAGAACCGAATGACCTGTGCTTCAGGCACAATGAAATCAGAGGTTTCACAGGTTAAAATCAGTGTGTTGCCCTCATCTGTGGGCCAGGCCAGACCACACCATACTTGCATGAAATAGTAGATATCAGGTCCATAAGGGAGTAGGAATCACATTGTACATACACTGGTGAGAATCAAGAGGAAAGGGTGGGTTGGGAAGGAGGAATGAGATGACCAGGAAGGATCTTTTGGGCAAAAAAGGACAAGTATGAGTTAGAAGATAGAACTTGGAGTCCTTGTCTACTGTGCCAGTGACCTTGGCTGAGTCATATGCTTCCCAATGCCAGGATTTCCAATGAACATCACCAGTTGCAGAAATGAACTGAAATGTCAAATGAAAACAAATCATTTAAATAGGGATACAGGTGGACCCATTGCAACAATGAGATGTACAAGTGTTATGTTGAAAAGGAACTTTACAGCTTTGGTGCGGGGCGGGGGGGGAGGGTTGGGGGGCGAGGGAGGATGGGAAGGGAAGGGGAAACAAAAGAGGAGGCTACAATGCTTGATAAGAAATGCACTCATTATCTTGCCCATGTAATTGTAACCCCTCTGTTCAGTATTTTCACAATAAAAAAAAAGAAAACAACATTGACTGCTATTGTCTGAAAAAAGATCCAGCTTTTCTTTTGCATTACTTTTCACTACTATTAACTCTTCCTGAGCTTAGCAGACTCATTCTAAATGAACAGAGCCAAATGCTGGTGTTTCATGCCTGTAATCCAAGCTACTCAGGAGACTGAGGTCTGAGTCTCAAGGTTCTAAGCTAGCCCAAGTAGGAAAGTCCATGAGACTCTTATCTCCAATTAACCAACAAAAAGTCATAAATGGAGCTGTGGCTCAAGTGGTACATTGCTATCCTTGAGTGAAAAAGGCTAAGGATGAGCAGCATTCTTGCCCTCAGATCAAGCCCAAAGAAAGAAAAGGGGAGGGGAGGGGAACGAAAAGCAAAAAGGGCAACATTTTGAAGTCTCAGGCTTTGAGTGATTTAGCTACTAAGTAATTACAGGACTGTCTTGCTGCCAGTGACTTGGCTTTCCCCCCACTTAGCTCCAACTTGTGTTTCTGAGTGGTTGGCCCTCACCGTAGACTTTGGTCCTAATTTGGGAGTTTGTATTTATTTTTTAACATCCCACCTATCCTCTACTCTATTCCCTCCTGCTATTTCTACAGTGTTTCCTTATCAAGTTATCACTTTTTTTGTACCTTCTTAGTGCAGTGTCTAAAAGAGACGTCTCTCAACTATTCTGTCCATTATCCTCCTGTCCCTTTCCAGAGCACATGAAGCCCTTCCCCATACATCATGTTTCCTTTCCTCTACTTTTCTGTGGTTTTTCTAAAATTCCTTTAGAACTATTTGTAATTTGCAGTTGGTTATTTATCTAAGTATTTTATGAAGGCTATATGGTGCCATATCAGAGATATCAGTAATTTAGCCCACCTTCCATCAATTACCAATGCTTCTAAAACAGAGCATATAAATTCTTAGGTAGAGCTAGTGATCCATCCCAGCTAACCTAGGTGATTCTGA